ATGCATAAAAACACTCTCCTCTCCCCAGAGCCTGCCTGTAGCGAAGGCATGGTCTGTACAACTGCAATTATTTCGAAGAACAGATGGAGTGAGGAGCAGAAAGTCTGTTAATAGTAATAGAAATGCTACATGTTAACCTGGACAGCACACGATGACAGTCCCATGACTACACGTTCTGTTCCCACCAGCTGGGCTCCCGAAAGCAGAGACGGAGAGAGATTCAGAAGCGCCGTGCTCGGGCTCCGCGCCCTCCCCAAACTTACAGCTCAAATTCCTTCACACTCCCAGCGTAGGGTTTTTTGGGTTGTCGGGCTGCTTTCTTCTCCCCCCCACCCCCTCCCCCTCACCTTTTTTGGCTGCCGGCGCTGCGGTGATGGGAGGTGGCACCTCCGCTCCGAAGGTCCCGAGCTCCGGCGTGCCACCTTGGCGTCGGCGCAGCCCCTTTTCCACGCGCGCGTCCCCGTAATGGGTGTAAACCCCTCCGCGATGCAAACGCGTGGAGCCGCCTTGGCATCGATGCACCGTGGGCAGCGGCACCTCCCCGGCCGCCGTCCCGAGCGGGCCGGTTGAGCGAGCTTGGGATTTTCTTTACAACTCTTGCAAGCTGTTTGCTAAACGGGTTGAAATCCCTGTTTTCTGGTTAAACCGGTGGTGGAGGTAGTTTTTGCCAAGGTGGGGAGCTGAGCGACGCAGAGCTACGGTGGGCGGCAAAGGGAAGGGGCTACGGAGGATGTCCGGGTATGGCACCACCCCGGAGATGGTTTTACCCCGATTGGAAGTTTGGGAAATAGGGGAAAATGTTGTCTCTGCCCCAACGATCTCGCTGTAAAAATCCCTGCCTGGTTTCACAAGCAACCCCGGGGGGAGGCGGGGGGTGGGGGGGGTTTAATCGCAGAGCTCCAGCTAATTTGGGTGGGAATTGCAGGGCTAAATCCCCCGGCCGTTTATGAACCCTCAGCCCTCGGGCGGGCTGGAGCGGCGGTGCGTGGCACCGCTGGCGAGCTGACAGATGCACCTGGAGGTTTTATTAGGCTATAGATCCCTTAATCTGGGTGCTTGCAGGATAATCTGGTGCCTGAGGTCCTGCCAAATCCCCTGAGATCAGCAGGTTTTCTATCCACAGCCTCCAGAGGTCACTTCAAACCCAGCTCCAGCCTCCGGGGACCGAAATATCCATCCTGGCTCGTCGCGCCGGTGGCACCCATGGGTGCTGGGCATCCTCGGTGGGGACCCGGGGTGGGCTATGGGGGATGCTGGGGGGGCTGAGCCAGCCTCGTCCGTGAGTCCCTGCTCTCTTGGCCTGGTTGCCATCGCCCGGGAGAGGTTGCCCAAC